AGGTGGCCTTGCTATTGCACGCATCTTGAAAYGGCTTGCACCAATTTCCCCATCCCTGCCTTTTTTTATTGGTGCTGTTAGAAAAGTTGTGTGTGCTCCGTGTATTTCAGTTTGGTATTTGCATATATTTGTGGTGCATAAAACAGAACATATTGCAAATAGTCCTTATTTTTTTTGTATGTTATGCTGTTAGGACAGGTTTCAGCCCAAACTCTGCCGCACAGTAGCGGAAGGCTGACAGTAGAAAGCAGCTTGCAGCAGTGAAGCCAGGTGATGTTCCTAGTAGAGAGCACCAAGTTTGGAGGAATCAAAATCCAAATAAGATTATGAAGGGATAAAGGGAGCACAAGGCTTTAAGATGAAGCTTAAAAAGCAAAGGATTGTAGAACTCTGTAGCAAATTGCCAACACTTGAGAATAGAAATAGTCGCATAAGCAATGAGAAGAAATAAATGACAATCCTGAAATTAGCAAAGGAAGCAACACGATAGTAAGGTAAGAGAAGGGATACCAGTGCTTTCTGTATTAAAAATGAAGAAAAACAAATGACAGTGATAAAATAAGTGAAGTTACGATGGATTAAATGGGTGAAGCATAGGAGTGATGTGAATATAAGGGTAAAGTTGTTGTTTTGCTTGTTTATAACACCTGCCAGCTTCCCCTGCAATTTGTGGATACTTGTTTAATTACTTGCCTTAGGTCTGCATTGCCAAATATGCCAGTCCCTTGGGGAAGAGAGGAGAGCTGTTAATTGGCATGAAAGTTGTAGACTCGTCAAATAGAAATTAAGGCCCGATTTTTATAGTTGCAGGGTGCAGTGACTCATGCAGCTCATGCAGGATTTATTTTGCTTATGTAAGAATTAATAATAATTTTTAAACCTGAGCTCCAGATACCTATTACTAAAAAAAATCTAACACACTATGGTAAATGCATTCTAAATATATATATATGTCAATCACATACCCATTTTATATGTATGTTTTCTAAATATGTTATATACATAATATTTACATAAAATATTTTTTATACATTATAGATAATATATATTATATATTTTTCTAAATATATATTTTTTTTTTCATTGAGGGAATACCTTGAGGTAGTATGTCTTATGGGATTATGCTGTCTATGTTTCTGGCCCTTCTTTTCTTCTCCTCATAACATTGGAAACTGTTAGCCTGTTTGAAATCACTTGGAAAGAGAAGTGGAGATCTCAGAGATCCCTGGTGCAGTGAGCAGCTTTAAAATTGCTGCGTGAGYTGGGGAGAGACCAGACGAGTATGTTTGAGGGAGCAGGACACTGGTATTATACATTCATTTTGCAACAGCCACATATACAATTAGCTCMTACATCTCTGTCAGCCACTGGCCGACAGTATAACATTTATGGAGGATTTTATTCTACCAGGTTTTCAGAAATGTGTATGTACAGTTTATGAATTCTCTTTAATACTGAGAGTTCACTGTGTCCCTGCGTCAGACTACAGATCTGGTGCTGAACATAAGCCTCGTCTATAGTTTTCTTTCTCAGGGAGGGAATTGCATGCAAAGTAAGGCATCTAACAGCACAGATTTGTTTAAAATTGTTTGATGTGACTGAGAATAGGAACTGTCTTATATTGGGCACAGGAAAGCAGAGGTGGCCAAACTCCTCTGCTGTGGCAGGCTGGTAAATGGGTACTGCGTCAAGTGGTAGAGGCAGCTGGATGGTCTGATGGGGCAAATAAGCAGTAGCTGTAAATGGGAAGTGATTTTATGAGCTGCTTTTACAGTTAAAAGCAAGAGACAGATGAGAGGAGGGAGACTGTGCGTTGCCATAACAGACTGCGACCTTAGTCATGGTGAAACTAAGTTTGAGAGTCTGTTATTAACATTTTCCTTGGAGAAGTGCACTTCTGTTTGAATTGAAAACTAAGTAACTTAGAATATATTCCTAAAATCCTATAATCCTATAATGAGAATATATTCCTAAAATCTTCGTATGTTCAAATAGCATGTGCACTAAAACACCAAGCATGTAAATTACAAGGTCCTTAATGATGTTGCCCTGTGGAAAAGAAGGGACTTGAGCAACTGGAAAATTGAGGGAAACGAGTACGACCTGCGTGGTGGAATACAGAGTCTCAGCTTCTTGAGCTGCTTGAGGGGCAGGAAAAAAGATAATCACTGTGAGTGTGCCTGGAGAAACAAAACCCAGTGTTCTGGGTGTTCCTCTGATTCTGTAAGCTTAGTGAAATCAGACATATCATTGAGGAGAACAGAAYAGGATGTATATATCCAGCATAGTCAATATTTTATTAAAAGTATGATATAACTTCTGGTGAATTTAGCTTTTAGATGATAGTTAATCCCTTTACAACATAAAAAGTATGTATTCTTTGTGACAGGTGGAAACCTTAAGAAAGTAAACGACGAAACACTTGTGTGAGTCCTATTTGTCCTGTAATCACTTTGAAAATTCATGCCTGTGCAAGCATTATTTTTTAAGTAATACTAAAGATATCATTAACTATGTTGTGAACTTTGCAATAGTATTTTCTAAAATACAGGCACTGTATTTTGAAATGAGAAATCTGCTTGTGCTGGTTTTGATTTGTGGTTGTAGCAGTGGTTTAATGCAAGTTGATTTGCATGTATTGAAAAGTGGCAACAATATAAGCATAGAATCATGGAATGGCTGAGGTCAGAAGGGACCTCTGGATRTCAGCCAGTGTTACCAGACTTCCTCAAAGCAGATTCAGTTGGAGCACGTTGCTCTGGGCTTTGTCTGGTGAGTTTTTCTGGGGACTTAAGAACTTTTCTGGACACCTCAGAACCCTTCTGGGCAACCTGTTTTTRGTATTCTCCAAGGTTGACAGCTCTCAGACTCTCCTTGCAGCAGAGATGCTGTGACCCCTTCATCATCGTTATCAGACCTTGGCTGGTCTAGCTCTAGTACATGGAGCTTTGGGGAGCCCAGAGCTGGACCTAGTGCTCTAGCGAGGTCTCGCTGGGCTGAACAGAGGGCAAGGATCACAGCCTTGGATGCCTTGAGCTCCCTGCCTTGTGCTRTGAGGGCACGTTCACGCCTTCCTGGCTCATCTCATCCACCAGGATGCCCAGGCCCTTTCCTGCTCAATTGCTTTCCATCCGTTTTCCCCATCATGTAGTAGTGAGTGCAGTTATTCCTCCTCGGGCAGGACTTGGCCCTTCCCACTGCTGAACTTCACAGGATTCCTGTTTGCCCATTTCTCTAGCTTCTCGAGGTCCCTCTGAGTGTCAGCACCCCCACTTGGAATTTCAGCCCTTCCTCTCAGTTTTGGATCGTATACAAATTGCTGAGGGTATCCTCTGTCCCAGCATGTAGGTCATTAAGGAAGATATTAAACATWCTGGCCTTGGAGATTGATCCCTAGGGGTATGCCACAAGTGTGTGTCCTCCAGCTGGATTTCGATGCCTGTTGCAGCTCTTTGAGCTCAACCATCCAGGCAATTTTCAGTCTACCTCATTGTCTACTCATGTAGTCTTGAACTTCATCAGTGTGTCAGTGAGGATGCTATGGGGCAATGCTGAAAGTCAAGATAATCAGCATCCACCACTCTCCCCTCACCCGCTGAGGAACATTTATCTCATCACAGAAGGCTATCAGGTTGGTTAAGTTTGATTTCCTCATGGTAAATCAGCGCTGACCTCTTTTGTCCTTCGTGTGTTTTGAAGTGGCTTCCAGGAGAATTTGTCGTGTTCGAACTTGCTGCGTGGTGGGTGAGTTTAGAATGCAAGGATACACCTTTAGCCAGACAGTGTAGGCAGGGAACAACAGGTGGCTTAATTGCAGCTCTGCATGATGAATAATCATTTACAGTTAAATGGATAAAGATGTGATGGTCTGCTTTTGAATGGTTAAGATATTTCGCTATTATTAGATATATGAATGGGGGGCCATATCCTGTCAATCAAAAATATTCAGCTATAGTGTTTTATCTGTGTGAACAGATACTGTGCAAATATACTGAATATTAATGCTGCAGGGGTATGGAAGTTTTATAGTCATTATCTCTAAGGTACACTTTATCTTTGGAGGAACTCTGATACATTTATATATAGAAATAAGAATTTATTCTGGTAGTGGTTTAAGAAATAATGACTTGTTTACTTTGTAGAGCAGTATGTTCATGACAATAACTATACATTTATATTTCTGGGTAATAAKAAAATAGCTATCACTTTAATGGAAAAGTTTATATAAAAAAAGTATAATTCTCATGTATGTTCAGTTCACTCCTATGATTTGAGAGAAATGTCTTAAATACAGCTGATTAAATGACAGGATGAAAGTGGTTTGTTTGARTTTGAAAATTCAGTGCATCTTCTGTCAGTTAACATTTAATCAAGTTTATTCCTGATAATGCCATTGACTGTAAACTCCAGTTCAGGTCTTAGTTTTTTTTGTGTGTTTGAATTTCCAATAATTTGGTTATTCATTTGTCTACCTGTGACAAAGAGCTATTCTGTATGCAGGTAGTCACCCACTTTCCATGACAGCAGAATGAGTTTGATGACAGCTAATACTGAGGAGCTGTCTCCTGGGGAATTCACATTCTTGGAAGGATTTGTCCATATGGCAGTTTCCTGTACTGATAACTTTTGAAAAAGTGAGGTTTCCAGTTAATGGATGTGAATTCCCTATACATATGCCTTCATATACATACATACATGCGTACATGATGTATATATCTATATATACACACACACACAGGTATTCATATATATATGTATGTACATAAGTGCACATGTCTTTTAGGTATATATATGTGTGTATGTTTACATATACAAATATAAATATATTCAAATATTTAATTTAATTATAAGTTGTTTGATTTTTGATGACTTTTGTTGACATTTTTTCCTTTAAAAATTGAATTTATAAGTCCGATTTCTATTTAAGCAGACCCTTTGTGGTAAAAAGATGGAGATAAAATTTGAAAGATTAAGTTTACTGTTACCTGCTTTTTGTTTAGTTTCAGGCACTGTCTGCTGTATCCCACGTGCTTGTTTTGCTAGGAAGGAACAACATATTAAGGAACTCCTTAATATCTCTCCTGCTATCCGAAGTACATCAGTTTGCTGAGCAGATGTGTCAAGCTCACCAGGTATTGTTTTCTTTTCTTTTGGAGAAGACCAAAGAGTAATATGGGGGAATGTTTCATCTCCATCTGTTTGTCCCATAAAATGTAGCAAATGGATCATTTTATAGTTGCGCTTTTTTATCATCTTATATATAGSCATTCATATACAATGAATGGTACCCCCTGACTTAACCAGCAGATTCCAAAAAGAGGTAAAAAGAAAAAATCCYTACAGGCAAAAAATCCTATATACACACTGTATAATAAGTAGTACATATGGGAATTTAGATCAGGCTATGCAGTTTTGAAAGTACTTGGAAGCAGATAAAATAATTATTGCCATCTATTACATGGGGGTTATGAAGGCTTGCAGTTTAGGTATCTGGTTGGACATTCCAAATGCTGTGACTCTCTCTAGCTTGTGTAGACTTGGAAATAAGCTTGCATTATTTTCTTTCAGAATTATATTTCATATTTCACATTGTAATGCTAATTTGCATTCTATAAATGTTGTCCCTGACTATCTGTTCTTCATCTCCTATGCATTAAAATAACCTAATTACATTTTAAGAGCAGAATGGAACGGAGGTTGCATTTTCTGGCAAAATTGGTTTCTGAAGTTAAATTTTTATTTTGAAACTATGTAACACATGAAACAAGCCTAACTTTTCTGGTATACTATTGATTTAAAAACAGAATAGAAGAAGTAGATATTCCTTTAACATGTGTAGAACATATGTATGAAATTACTTGGGGATTCCTGGATTTTTCATGTGCCTCTGTGTGGGGACGTGTGTGCGCAGTGTGCAGTTTCATTTGAGATTATGATTTGATTGTATAATACTACGGAATAATCCAAGAAAAGAAAGCCTGCAACACCAGCATCATACCTGATGGAAAAGAAAGCTGTTGATATATGTAGAGGACTCATCCTCAGTGTATGGGCAAATACTCTGGCTCCATTTAACAGCTGTTTTAAGTATTGCTCAAACGTCCTTTTCTCTAGGATGTGATACAAGTTCAGACTGCTCACAGTGAAYGTTTAGTTTCCAACCTGCATTTATAGTGTGATTCAGTTATATTATGAAAAGGCTTTGAAAAACAAAAACAAACAAAAAACCCACTAAACAAACCCAGAAAAAAAAACAAACATTTTTGGAAGACTTCAACAATGTATCTTATTTTAAGTYACTGCTACCCTGTCAGTTATTAGTAGCAGTCAAATGCAAAGACACTTCAAATAATTATAAGTATAGGAAAATACATGATTTATTTTTTTTTTTTATTTAAAGAAGCTACATATTTTAATGTAATTAAATCTCACCTGTTTAACAGAATTATTCATAGCTTGTCTCCATGCACATTTTTGTGAGAGGCAGTAYAGAAATTGCTAAATAACGTTGTTCAATCCTTTTTTGCTGTGCTCCCACTGATAGGAGGCTTGCACTGAATTATAGGCACTTTACTGAGTTAATTACTGTCTTGCTGAAATTATWTTTATGTATTACTTTCATGTTTGGTACATAAAATTTATTCCCCCAAATTTGTTAGGTTTGGCTCCTCTTTGGCTTTATTTTGGGAAGAATAATATATTTTATTTTAAGATTATACTAACAGAGATTGCAACATTACATAACTTGCAGTTGAGAAATTGGAAATAAATTAGTATGCTCTGATTTTAGCCATCAAAGATTCTCTTAAAATCCATGAAAGAGGATTGACTCTTTCTAATGGTAAATGTTCTTATTACTGACACTGTAGTTAATAAATTTATGGGAAAGGTTGACTCATATATAAATGTAAAGAAATTGGTAATTTCTTCAGTAAGTAATTTTTATATAACAGAATAATAAATTGTTTAAATTGCTGTATCACCAGAATACTTAGATGCCTTGAGTTGGTATATGCAACATCTGTCTTCGTTTACCTGTGAGAAGGCTCTCTCTCTTCCCAAATTTTCAGTGTCCAGAACAGAGGCCTTTTTCCTGGAACATCTGAAGAAAGTTCTGTCCAGCGCTGAAGCAAAGGTGACTGTTGGTTGAGAATGAAGCAACTTTGTCTTGGGAAGTGACTCTAGCTCTCTAGATTCCATTTTGCAGAATGCGGAAGGAAAGCTCAGCCATTTTTGGGGGGATTCCTGTTTACCATTCCTGAAGCACCAGAGATTTGGAGGAGGTGTCTTTAGCACTAAGGTTAAGATAGAAAAGTCTTCTGTAGTCTTTTGTGATTGAAAAAAACCTTTGCCCGAGATAGAAGCTGCTTCTGTAAGAAAARTATAGAAGAAAGCTCTTCAAAAGATACTGTGGAAGTTTTCATTCCTCCCTAGTAAGTTGTCTTTTTTCCACTCACTAAATCCTTCTACCAACCTTCTTACCGTCTTCCTTCTTCTTCGGGAGAGTCTTCATCTAGTAATTCTTCATGCTGAGAGACAACCCRATTTAAGAGCTCAAGAGAATTTCTAAGGTGGCAGGGCTTTGTATTTCTTTATTCAAAAGGAAAGATAAATATGTTCTTGATCTTTTACATTAATTCTATTTCTTCATATTTAATATATGTGAAATAACTGAAATTCAAGTCAGTAAAATGTATCCATTAATTGATCTCCAAGACTTTTGCATCTTTGAGGCTTTGCTACCCATTGGCCTCCATCCCATAATATTTGTTCTTGTTGCAGATCTTGGCTGCTATCAATACACTGCAACGATTTTGAGATTTCCTGAAGTGCAGCTWCAGGCACTTGGATGGCTCTCTGATGGCTATTTTTACAGTGGCAAATTGTCTTGTATGTTATGAAACATTCACCCCCAACATGATCTCTTTTTGTCTTAGTCACAGAGTTTTATCATTMTGTCTTCTAAACATATATACTGTTGTATATGAAAAAAACTGTGTGTCACATTAGTTAGTTATTTGCTTGTTCAAGGGCTGCCTGCTGTAAACACAAAGCCTCTTCATCCCCAAGAGCAAATGGATGACACATTGCACTGCACTACCAGCTGGCTGAAATATCTGCCCTCTTGCCTACCAAAGGCTGTTGGACCAGTGGTCTCCTTTCCTTTCCTCAGCCTGTGTCCTATGCTACGTGTCCTAGGTCAGACAGAGCACTGGTGACTGCCAGGTCTGGCTGCCAGAACTGATGCTGACATGATGGGAATGATATTTTATGTGCCACAGATGTACTGGCAGATCTACGTACACCCTTGATACTGCATATACTTGCTGTTTTTAAGGAGTGCAGTGGTTTGSTGCTTTTATCCACAAGGAAATATACCAGGAAAAAAAAAATGTTTGGTGAAGTGGCCTTTGAGTTAGTGSGGTTGAAAGCTTCATTTTTCCTGTACTTTTTTCAGCCTTTTCCTGTGAGCAGCAGGAGGACCAGAGTGGCCCCATCTGTAGTGGTTGTTCAGAACATTCCCGTGCTGTGCAGGTGTATGCATGTACACACATCAGAGGACTGYACATCTTGAAATGTGGCAGCTCGTATATTGGCAGGGAGCTGAAGTTCTAGTTTGCTTAGCTTGCTGAGAACTTCATGTTCATAAAGTTTATGCATTCTTGCGTGTATCTTTATCTGTGCTGTTTTTCAAACTGAAGTTAATCCCCACACTAGCTGTAGATGTGCACAACTGGCATAGTTCCACTAGATGTTTTATGTTAATTTACAAACACTTATATTTTCTGTAAGTTACAAATATTATTAGAAATACCACTTAAAGAATATCTCTTTACTTATCAAAATAGGTCACTAACCTTTACTATTCCTGGCAGCCTGGTTTATGGACCTGTTTYTGAATGTTTCTCTGTGTAACATTATCTTTGTGGGGCATGATTTTGAAAAGGATTTCTTTTTTCTTATTTGATAATTTGAAGTAACATACAGGATCTGCTTCAAATATATAAAATGACAGTTTTAGAAAAAAATGCTCATAAATATTTAAATCACAGTTTGCCAAAGGATTATACGTCCTACTTCAAATAATACTTCTAATTTTGTTAGCTGGCAATTGTCCTAATCCTGCTTTGTTATTTAGGCAAAACTGCTGTTAATTGCCAAGGTGTTTCATGGCTAAACTCGAAGTCAGTTACATTATGGACTTTAAATCTTAGTTATGACCAGAGGTATGCAAATATCTACTTTCTTTGCTGTTGTCCCTGCTGTATTGTTTGGGGSTTTTGTTTCCATCTTTTGTGTCTTTGCTGACAGATAAGAGAAATCAAGAAGTCAGGACAGATATGTATTCATATTAGCCTACACTTAATTTTTAAATGTGTAGTCAATCACAGAAACTGAAAAATACAGGGCTTGGTATTGATCCATAAGGTTTTTGATCCCAATTTTTTGAACAATTACTTATTTTTTAAGTTGAAGATATATTCTAACATTGATTTGGATTGAAAAAAAAATTTTGAGTTTTCTAAGTTCATTTTCTAGATATTTCAGGATTCTTTTCTTTAAACTTCCTCCTTAATAGAATATTAATATAAGCACAGTTGTATCTTTTAATTTTTATTGATGCAGCATATGAACTTTTCATGCTGCCTAAATGTGATGTATAAAAATACARTAACCATGTCTTATCCCTCTCTGGCATAGAAATCTCTTGATACCCAATAGAATTCCTTCCACTGAGCAGATAAAATTTTAAGATCCTAAGATTTCAGAATGAAGGTAGATTATTTTTCAAATGTTGAGCTTCTCATTGTGATAACATCTCTTACTTTATGACAACTGTTTCAAAGGCGGAGGACCAGAAATGAAAAGCACAGACCTGTTCATAGGCTGTTTCTGACCTTGCAGGTGAAGAACTCTGAAAACAGAAATTAATTTATGGTTAATCCTATTTCTGATGAAAACAGAAAGTATGTTTGAAAATAGAAGGAAGACATACAGTGAGTTTTTGGAAAGCCTTRCTATTCAAAAGTTGCTGATATATAGCCTGTCTAGCATTACATTCCTACATTCCATTACTTTTTGGACAATATATTTCCATTCTCAATTCCTGAAAGTATTTCTGTCACAGAAA